TAGGCCACTGCCGCCGCCTACCAACGGACCACCCCGCCATCAATGGCCTACCCCTCCACCAACGGACTGTCCCGGATTCCCAAGGAAACTAAGTGAGGAATTAATTCATTAGAATAAGGGTATATAGGTAAAAATAATTAGGTTTACTGCTATTTGAGAAAGATTATGATGAGTGAACACCTATTTGGTCAATTACTTTTAGGGAAAAATAATTAAAACACCCCAAACTTTGAAGGGTGTGAGATAAATACCCCAAACTTTCATATGTAATTTAAATACCCCAAACTTTATATAAAAAGCTATTTTAACACACATGGTCATGTATGTATCATTTCAAAAATTTATGATGTGAATTGCATAATTTAAAATAGCAAATTGAAAACATTTCAATTTCACATAATTTAAAATAGCAAATTTAAAACATACTCCGTCTACGTACGTTGAATTGAATGCTCCTTATATTTATTCTCCAAATAAACGGATGTAAACTATTTTACTACCTTCCCCACGTAAAATATTTTACATGATACCGTGTAAAATGTTTGCATCCCCACACTTTACACTCAGGGCTCGTTTGGTAGTTTGCACGTTAAATGTTTGCACACAAAGTGATTGCAGGCAAAGTATAGGGAAACAATCATTTTGCATGCAAACTAGATTACATTGTTTGGCTAGATGTGTAATTTATTTTTAAATTGCACGCAAAGTCGTTGCAGTGCTTCATAAAAGGCATGCAAAGTATTTTACCACCCTCCTTCCACGTAAAGTACTTTACATGATACAGTGCGAAATGTTTTAAAAAAGTGTTCTACAGTTTACATTAAATAATCAAATTAAACAGTGTAAACATTTTACATCCCTACACTTCGCATGCAAAGTAATTATTTTACATCATCATAAAAGGGCCCTTGCTTTTTCATTATTGAAATTCGTTTTCAAGTCATCTCTCCCTCTGCAAGTATCGGGGACGGAGCCACACTCTCTATCTATCATGTTGCGATCCTTTTTTGATTAAAAAAAAAGTCATCTCTCCCTCTTTTGGTATTCTTGCCAGTATGCAGCATAGGTGGTACTGTCCTAAGAAAGATTCCCTCATTCGTTTTTTCTACCATTATTCAAATGCTCCGTTTATTTTGCAGTCTCTTTTCTCTTGCTTATATCTCTTCTTTCCACCGCATTAGCTCCCAATGCCAGCTCGATTACCCTCTGTTTAACAATAGCTGGAAGAACTGAAGAAGAGCTGGAAAACTGTATGTATGGTCTAAGCTACTCCTTCTCTAAGTTGTGATTTGAACGCTCCAGCCCTGAAGGAATCCTCAAACCTGTGATTCCCAAATACTGCCGAGTAAGATTTCTCACTGTTCTGTGTTCATCATTAACTTCTTCAAAGTTAAGAGCTTTATTTAAACCATTTCGTTCTGCACTCTGGGTTTCTGGCGTTCTTGCTCCGTTTCATGGGCCTTTCACTCCGAAGTAAGATCATCCATTTCCTGTCTGACAAATAGGAGCATTTGGATTTTGATACATAAATTGGTGTTCTGTTGTATATAAAAATGTTTAAAACCCTAGATCTGGTGTGATTTTAGACGTTGAAGTTCCAATTTTTAAACATTTTGAGTGTTTTGGTTATCGGGATTCTTTTGTGTTAGTTTTATGCTCTTATGAACCTGAGCATTTCCTTGTTAGTACATAAATCCGTACTTGAACCTCATGGATTTTCGGTGTAGCCCGATACAATCTCATTCGTTTTAAGTCTATGCTTGGTAAAACAAACTCATATAAGTGATAGAAGGCAAAAAGCCTTATGTATGCAAAATGATTAGGTAATATGTCTTAGGAATAATTTTAGAGAGAGAAATATGCTTGAAAGGAGCTGTAAACGACCTTATTCGGAAAGCTACTCAAATAAGCTCGTGAAATAAGCCCAAACTTGTTTGAGAAGCTCATTTTGTAAAACTTCTAATTTTGCTTGTGGCGCATTGCTGATATATAGTAACAATTTCTATGTAAAAATCTATATTTCTATAAAGCTGCTTTCATATTCTAGTTATTGTTAGTAATGTACATTGTGCACTTTCTGCATATCAGGATAAAAACAAGCTCGTTTGAAGTGCATCATTTTATCCCTCATTTCAGTCATTCAAATGGGATTTGGACAATAGTCGTAGGGAATGGAATGTGCAACGAGATCCTGTTTACAATCCAATGCCTGTAAATATAGGTCCATTGGAGTGTTTAGTTCTGAAAATCAACTTTCACTAAACAATGCCAAAAGTGAAGAAACTGAGGAAGCTGGATCTTATTCTGTTAAAGTTCATCCTTTGAGGGTTGGGATTCACAGTGAAGTACATATCTACGATCATCTTGTGATCTTGAAGTTATTCGAAGCAATTTCAGCTCTGAAATTAGCCTACATTAATCTCCAAAAAGCTCACATTCCTTACGAACCCAATAAAGTTAGAGCAGCAGATGAGGCTTTTTCAACTCAGATGGTATCACTAAGCAAGATTAGGAGAGCATATGAGGAGAAGAAGAAGCTAAAGTTACTGAAATCTGCAGAAACCCAGGTCCAGGAAAAGATATTAGATAAGCTGAAGAGCCTTGTCAAAGACAAAGAATCTAAGATTATCTCTCTACAGCAAGAACTTCATGATGTATATTCAAAGAACAAGAAACTGGCAAAGGAGCTTAAAAATGTCAAGGTTTTGAGCTTCTCTCACATTGAGAAAAAAGCCAAAGCAACATCAATGGCAATACACGACTTTTCCAAACCATTGATTGCCTTAATGAAGGTTACAGGTTGGGATTTAGACGAAGCTGCCAACTCAATCCAACCCTCTGTTGTTTACTCCAATAGGTCCCACATGAAACATGCTTTCGAAGCTTATATTTCCCAGAGAATGTTTCTTGGATTCACTTCCAGTTTTTCTGCATATTGCAGTGAAAAATATCTATCAATAGTTCATCCTGTGATGGAAGTGGCATTCTTTGGGAATTTAGACCATAATACTTTAGTGAGCAATGGATTCCATCCGGCAACATCATTTTATTCTTCATTCTGTAGAATGGCAAGATCGGTTTGGGAACTTCAATGTGACGTGGCTTATGTGGGAGCAACTTGTGAAATGTTTGGAGTCAAGAGGGGAAGTGAGTTTTCAAATGTTTATATGGAATCTGTGGAGGAGGTAAGTGAAGAAAGGAGCAAAGTTGGATTGATGGTCATGCCTGGTTTTCTATTCGATGATGGATCGATTATCAAATCTAGGGTCTATGTATAAAGAATCTGACTTATTGTGTGAAAAGGATGCACTTGCTGTGTATGAATATTGATGATAGATATATTTAGGACCTAGTGATTGAATATATTATCACGTGTTTCTTTGAGGTATTGCTTTTCAATACGCTTATCTTGAAACTGAGCTGATGGCCACATTTTTCCACTGTAAATGTAAACTTGCTGCTTCCATAAATCTCTGCAGTAAATATGAAATGACTTGTAGAGCCTGAACTCCGAAGAGTTTGCATTTTGTGATTTGGAGTGGATTTAGGGGTATGTTTGGATCCTTACAAGTGATCCTAACAAGTGCTGGGGGCATTACTCGGTATTTTCTTGAGTTTGATTTTGCCATGGAAAATATAAAGAACAATGAAACACTCCTTATTAAATTTCCCAGTCTGTATAAATCAAAATACGGAGTATATAAATTAAAAAATTGAACTTGAAAAAAAGGTAGAAGTAAGTCACTGAGTTTGGATCCTAAGGGAAAACTGAAAAGCCGAAAAAAAAAAGACGGGATGTCCAATCTATGAGAGCATTTGGCAAAAACAGATTTAGAGCCCGTTTGGCAACCCAGTTTTTTGGCTTATCAGGCTTATCAGTCAGTTTTTTCACCAAACACGCAACTTTTGCTTTCGCGCGCTGAATTGTGTAATAAGCAGAAAAAGTAAGGTTGGAGTTACTTTTCTGGCTGTATTGGCTGAAGTTACTGTTGATGACTATTTTAGCTATTTTTACATATAATTTTTCTTTATTTTATTAATAAAATATATTTATAAAATATTTTTTTTCTTAAATCAGCAGAATCAGCCAATGCAGCCACTTCAGCCAGAACTTCATAAATTTCAGCAGAATCAGCCAAAACAGCCGATTTTCGTGCTACCAAACGGGCTCTTAAATACCTTGCATATGAATTGATTTTTGTCATTTCCCATTTTACGAAAGTATCGAATGACCAAACATGTGGCATTGTATCAAAATATTTATGCCGCAACAACAAATACATTCAAAATAGAAGCATATGATAGTAAGAATAATGTAAGACTGATTTAAAATCATACCAGCTTTACCAAATTCTATACGAAACAAATTTAGTAGAACGGACCAAAAAAACAACTGAGACAATCTTAACGGAACCGGAAGACATAGTATTGGTTTATTCCATGAAAAAATCTACACTATTCCAAAATTATTGTATCTCGTTCATATGAATCAATTAAGATAAGATACCTTAATTGAATAATTTAAACATAAAAAATGATTAATTAATGGCTTGAATCCATCGAATATAGACAATCAACTTATCCCAAATGGGACGATTTATCAATGGGTGGGTCCCCAACCTGTCCAACGGCTCTAATGACCACACCATATAATCAAGCAGATTGATAAACTGGATCTCATCCTAGTAAGTACGGAGTAGTAGTGGATTAACAGAAATCCACACAAATAATATCAAAATAATTAAACAAATAAAAGATCCATGACTAAAAAAGTCTTCCAGCTTGAGCTCCATGAAAACCCTGTGTGTAAAAGCACCTGTAACTGTCATTCACTCATCTCCACCTAATCTTTGAAGAAGAAAGGATTAAACAACTAAATTAATATTCTAATCATTGCGTGACAGACAAACATACGTGTGGTGGTCTGACAAATATGTAGCTCCTCGTACTAATGTAAGCAATGTACCATATCCTTAATTAATTCCAAATCCTATCTATGAATTCCACTATAAAATCCCTCCTGATTCTGCTTCTCATTCCATCTTCTCCTAAACTTTCCATCAATGGGCACTAATCACCATAACAGGTTTAGATTATCAGATATAATCCCAAATTCCTGGTTCTTTTACAAACCCAGCAGCAGGAACAAGAACACTACAAAAACAATAACAGCCCCCACGATTTATTCCCCAGAAAATGACTACTGCTCTGCCGTCTCTGTTTCACCGAAGAGGAAGGCAGTGTACTTGCCTTCTAGAGATCGAGGCCATTTCAAACCTGCAAGAGATCCTTATTACATTTCAAAGTCCAGGAATGGAAGAAAGAAGGGATCTTCAAGGGTAGTGTTCAGAGAATCGGCCGATCCGGAAAAGGATTTCAGAGAGTCGATGATGGAGATGATCATTGAGAATGAGATGATGGACTGGTCTGACCGGGAGCTGGAAGAACTTCTTGCTTCTTATCTTTCTTTGAACTCTCATGAATATCATCCTCTTATTGTCAGGGCATTTCAACAAATATGGGTAGACCTTCGACTATAATTTCTTTGTTGTTATGGAACCTTCGACTTCAATTGACTCGGTAGTTTAATACTACTCCATACATGTTTAAAAAAATTGTTTATTGTACAGTTTCAATATGCATACGTAATACGTAATATGTTTTTTTAAGAATTGTAAATTAAACAGACAAGTTATATGCAGGGACGGATCCAGGATTTCTATTCAAGGGGGGCGAAATTTTTCAGTAGTGTAGGGGGCGAAAAAAATTTCGTTAGTGTAGTGGGACGAAATTTTTTCCCCTAATGTAGCGGGGCGAATTTTTTCCGCTACTGTAGGGCTATGCGGCTAATTTTATTCAAAAAATGACATTAATACATACACATCTCCAACGACATTTAAATCTATTAAGTTGTACATTCTAAATTTAAATTAGACGATGACAAAGACATCAACCAATACATTTTTAATAACTTCTACATTGTTTAACCTCATGAATCGGTTATTATTGAATTGTAATTTTTGTCCAGCCACCAAGGAGGGTGTTCGTGAGTCATGACTCATGAGAAGTTTTCTTAATATTACAATAGTAGTATGTATGATATTATTATTTTTAGAATAGTATGCACCACATACACACACACACACATGTTGTGCATATTATATTTTAAATTTTGTATTAATGCTATAATAATTTAAAGTTTATTATCTATGCAATAAATTATTTTTAGAAAGCATTATCTAAATTATCTATGTAATTATTTTAGATGTTCCTTCTTTTAAATCTTCAATTAAGTATTACATTATGTAACACTATATATTTCTTTTGAAAATTAAAAGCTAAGGGGGGCGAATCTAATTAAATTATGAAAATTTTATGAAAATATTACATATATGGTAGAAAATTTTGAAAGTCCAAGGGGGGCGGTCGCCCCCCCCGCCCCCCCCCCCCCTAAATCCATCCCTGGTTATATGGTACTCTCAAGTCTCAAGTCATGATCATATACTAGTATATTGTACCTTCATTTTTATGGGTACTATTAGCAATCACTTTAATATATCCGTTATTGTAGGGAATGTTGTATAAACCATACTTAATCGATTGATAAACATATTTTTACTTTTGATTTTTTTTCCTACTTTTTATTAACTACATACGTAGTATTTGGGAAGAGAACCGTTTTGTTTCGGGAAATCTTGTATAAGTTTCTATAAGAATTATTATAACTAGTTATTCTACTCGTGCATTATACGAGAGCAGTGGCTGAGCCAGAAAAACAGGTCAGGGGGTCGAAAATCAAGTATGTACAAAATGAAAATGGCAGATCATTTTTAGACAATGTCCGAGTTGAATATTTCATTTGTAGTTTAGATAAAAAGGTATTCGTAAGCAATAAAATAGATTGTTTTTGCTCTGTTTCCGAATCATGTCACGTAAGTAACGAGTTAATTATACGTTATTTATAAAATTTGGGAAAATAATCAATATTATGCATCAAATTTTGCTAATTTTACGTTTAGATAGTGCTGATTTTCCCGAAGTCATAACTTTGTACTCGTAATGAGTTACGGGGGCCATAATATATCAAATCGAAGATATTTCAGAGCTCTATACTCTCAAACTTTCAGCGGGGTCGGCTGACCACCCTGACCCCCCCTTGGCTCCGCCCCTGCACGAGAGTGAATTACAATATGCTGATATGCGGGCAACAAACATGTAGTTTGGGGACACTATCAACAATTTAAAGATCTGATAAGTTTATGCATGATTGAATTACAAAAGGATTCCCTCCATATGGACGTAAATAGAGTCTTTCCTGCACAGAGTTATAAATAAGTATAATGATTTGTTCCGACTTTGTCTTGGACATAAAACTTTAAATGATAGTGAATGATTTAGCTAAAAACATACTTCCTCCGTTCCATTCGACTTTGCCAACTTCCCCTATTTGATTGTCCCAAAAATCTTTGTCACTTTTTTATTAAAACAACTAATTTTTGGTTCTGTACATTATTCTTTCCTTTGCACAAATTTCAACCACACAATTTTTACTTTTCTTATTTCTCACCTACTTTGCACTTGGCAAAGTCTACCGGGACGGAGGGAATAAAATAAAATAAAATATGAAGTCATATTTGATAGGAAAATAAAAAATATTGCACAAAGTTAAATATAAACCATGATACGATATAATAGGTGTGCATATTTGTCATCGCACTTACAATCTCAAAGATCTTTACCAAGAAATTCTTAACAAAGATTCTTTTGAGGAGGCATATATATAAATTATTGTTTTGAAAAGGAATTCTTTTTTTGTTTAGCAAAATGACAAACATGAATGATTTCATTCCAATTGATATCAGTGTTACAACCAGGAAGATTCTTGATTTTATTATAAGGAAAACTAGTAGGAGCAGAGTTTGCAGAGGAGATGTTGTTATTCAGATACAAATGATATACGGAGTAGAATATTATGAATTTCAGCATAATCAATGGTTTTGATTGTATGGAGGTCCTGCAAAATGCCATGTTTTTAACAAAATTAACACAGATTTTTATGTATAGTTAAACTAGAAACAAAAATTAGATTAACATTAGACCTAGGAACACATAATACATTGTGTATAGTTAAAAATCATTTATTTTAACATCTCCTATATGAGTTACTTTGGTAAATTTTCTAGTACGTAATCATATATTTATAGATATAGATTTAGGAAAAGTAGTACTCGGTATATAAATTAACATTGCAAATCGTGTAATCAGAAGGTGTCTAAAATCCAATCGACACTAATTTTAAAGGTATTTAAAGCAGTAATAGTACCTCAAGAAGAATTGTTATTAGTGTTGACAGTGTAACATTCAAAAGAGTTGTGAGTAGCAATGTCACTAAAAATAGGCTGGTTGATGACCATGGCAACATGTGCATTAGTGAGAGTGTTTTGTTCATTTTTCATGAAATGAATGAACTTATACAAAGCTCAGGGTCACAGACTCACAGGAGTACGTCAAAATCATTATTTGCTTGAGAGGAATAGGCAGCCATGAAAGCTTGAGGGATGCTGTTGGAAATTTTCTTGAAACCTGGAGCATATCTTTAGCTTTTTGGACCTTTCCAATTGCTTGGATGACCAACTAATTAGTAACACCCTTCAGCTGAGTGGCCTTGGTAGCTATGCACAGTGAGTATAGCTTCGAGCAGTGGCGGACACGGGGGGTGACAAAGGGGCGCTGCTGCCCCTCAAAAAAAAATTCTAGGTATATTTACCCCGAAATTTTTAATGTATATGTATTTGTATGTATATTTTTGTACTGCCGCCCCTGCTACCGAAAATTCCAGCGTCCGCCGCTGGCTTCGAGTGTATTTCTTTTCGGAAAATTAGGTTTGATAAGAAGGGCAGTAGAGTCCTTGAAGTTTGGTTGGAAACAATATTAAGTGTCAAACCAATTTTTTATGGAATTATATGTGACTCCATAAGATGTGACATCATCCCCATTAAAATAAGGGAAAACTGTCAAATAGGTCCTCGAACTTTCATAAAAAGGTCAATTAAGTCCTTCTATAAGAGGTTTTGTACGGCCGTCGTGATTTGGGGCAGTTACCGGTGGAATTTTTTGATGAAATTTTTTGAGCATCTTATTAACCAAGTCTAGTTTACTCATACCAAATTTCAGCTAAAAATTCAATCGGGAACACATTCAAATTAATTCTTGAAGATAACTGCGCATTTTTGCGTTCTCGAATTAATTTGAATGCACTGCCGATTAAATTTTTAGCTGAAATTCGGTATGAATAAACTAGACTTGATGAATAAGATGCTCAAAAAATTTCATAAAAACATTCCACCAAGAACCGCCCCAAATCGCGACGACCGTACAAAGTCTCCGATAGAAGGACTTAATTGACTTTTTTATGAAAGTTCGAGGACCTATTTAACAGTTTTCCCTTAAAATAATATGTGGTGGAGATGATGTCACAATACCCTGTGTTACTCCATAAGAGAGTCATGTATGATTCTATAAAATTATGAGAGATTTCTACAAGTAGGACCTAATCATACTAATTTTTCAAAATTAAGACTATAGATTAGCCTAAGACTTAAGTACACCTGCTTTGACCAAATTGCTCATCCTTTTAAATCCCCCACGCACAAACAAACTCCATAGATCGATAGCAGAAACTCGATAGCACAAACAAACCCCATTCCCCTGCGGCCTGCGCACAAACTCGATTTCAAATCGATCGACTGGGCCATCACCACCGCTGCTGATCGACTTCACCGTCGCCGACGCATCAGCTCCACCGTCCGCCGACGCACCAGCTCCACCGGCCGCCGCCACCAGAGGTTTCTTCTTCTTCCTCCCTCCTCCTCCTCCTCCTCCTCCTCTTCTTCTTCTTCTTCTTCTTTTCTGATTGTGGACATCGATTTTGCCAATTCGAACTTCTATTTCATATTTTCACAAGGCAACCAAGTACTCTGCAAAACTTTTGAAGAAACCAGATCCAAAATCAAACTTGCTAACACTAGACAATGAGTGATCATTAAACAGACAATAAGTTCTGATAATAGCTCAATAGCAAAGCAGATAATGTAAAACAATATATGTTTACAATTCACTATATCTAATGATGGCATTACATCGAAGATTGTCGAGAACTCCGCAATGACGCAACATAGGTAATCTAGCCCTCCGTAAAATCGTCGACGGCCATTAATGGTGGAGCCGTAGACTCCAGCGCCAAGATCCGGCGGAAATGTAGCCAATTTATCCGGCCAAAATTAGCTCAGTGAGACCATGCCGATTTATCGATGACAATGCCGAAGAAGGAACGAGAGCTGGAGCGTGAAAGCCGTGGATCGGATATCAGCGACCTAGCTTATTTAGTTTTAATTAAATAAGTGAAGGGTAAAATTGGAAGTTTAAATCCAATTTTAAAAAATAGAACTACATAGCTCTTACGAAAGGAAAAAACGTACGTAGGTACTATTTTTATAAAAGTGCTATGATTGAGTTCTACTGGAAGCAATTTTCTCTAAAATTATTTGGTGTCAAACAACTTTGATATTCTCATAATGAACTCTGAGAATAGTCCTTCTCACATTAGATGCATATAATTGTTATTGAAAGAAGAAAATTATGACATTTAAAAAAAAATACTACATCCGTCCCAATTATAATCATGTTTCTTTTTTACTTGTTCAATACAAACCACCATTCATCTCTTATTTTGTATATTAAACTTTTATCAAATATAAATTTTCTTTTTGTGATTTTGTAATATTTTTAATGTAGTTTCTGAATAATGTGAGTGTGAATATGAATCTGTTTTCTTTATTGTTGATCAAACCTCACAAACCGCAATCAGATTAAACTTTTAGCTTATTTAGATATTTTCAAAAAAATTATTACTGCTAATATTGGTACACTAATGAAAAGGGTATCGCATGTTCATCATTGGTTCATCATTGGTTCGAAGTTGGAAAAAATGACAAGTAGTCAAGCATATCAATTAATAATTAAAAGATGTAAATGTAAGAAAGACAATTCTATTTGCAGCTCCCAAATTACTATTTAGAGCCACAAAATCAAGCAAATATCTAATTTGTCCTTCCGCTTAAATCAGCTCATCCATTCATACGGAGAGCCTCTTCTCCTTGTTCATCCGGTTGAACTGAAGACTGTGTGCGTTATTGGGCATATCTACTAAGAACGAATGAAGGCCACACTCCTGAATGACTATTTGAGATCATCCTAATTCTTTACGTTTTGCTTCTAAATTCGGAGTAATACTATGTGATTTTTTTAATATTCTTTTTAGTTATGTTGACCGTTCTGGACGTTATTTTCCCTTAGTATAACTCCTTCCAAAAAAGGATGTTTTATTCATTAACAAAGGAATTTGAGAATGACTGAACTAATACAACCGCACTTAATTGATATACAAATATATTCCACTAATTTGTATGTGTTGTTTTACAAAGGAGATAATAAATAAAATACCCTCAACTTTGGGTAAGTGTGAGATCCCCACCCCATACTTGTCAAGGTTTAAAAAATATCCCCTACTATGTAAAAGTAGAGATACTAATACCCCATGTAATAACCGGCCAAGGAAATGTCAAGCTGCAATTTTCTTTCCACCTAAGCCATGTACGTATTCCCATTTGTAGAAATACTGTACAACCTGCTTCGAATTTGGGAAAATTTAGGGAAATTTCAAAACCTTCTGTCATGAGTTTACTGATGATGAAGAAGACGATGACTATGCCACCAAAAACAACAGAGTTTCCTGTTTTAGATTCACGCCTGAAAGTAATTAAGAAGTTCATCGGGGCGGCTATCAACACCAACCTCCTATCATATCCTTCTTCAGATCGAAAGAGGGAATCTGCTTCTTCGCGTTGAGTACTATTGGTGGTAACCCACCCAGGCTTTAAGCCTTGACATGCTCGAATCCTCAAACGTGAGTCGAGTTACGCCTCCTTCGAGCGTGGTGTTGATAGATTAGGATTTTCATCTTGCTGTAACATGGAAATGAGCCAATTGAGAAGTATTTTAATTTGGGGATTTTGCCAATGTTGATTTTTGCCACCCGAGTCTATGCGGCAAACTTAATTAAGTTGAGAAATACGGAGTTTTAATTGTTATTTAAATGATAGAGTATTAACTGCTCAATTAGATAAAGTTGAGGGTATTCCATTAACACAGATAAGTATAGGGTGGGGAAATCACACTTACCCAAAGTTGATGGTATTTTATTTATTTTTCCCTTTTACAAAAGCATGTGTATTTAGCTTTCATGATTGCTTGTGATATTGTATACAATACGGCTCCTAAAAAATAAAGAAGCTTAATTAACTAATATTGCTTTACCACCGTCAAATTGATCTTGTAGCAGATCTCATCCTTCGATCTGTTACCGTTTTTGGGCATAGCTTCAATACGCTGAAAATATTTTGTTGAGGGGGCAGATGAGGTATTGGATGGTGGTGCCAGTTATTTCCTTTGGTGTAGAAAGGCTATTGCTGGGTTTGAAGTGATATCCTTTCCCTAACAGCTGCTGCGATGATATGCCAATGAGAACCAGGAGAAGTTTATCGTATCTTTAGTATGTTTTATCTCGTCATGGCCTTCTTTACATAGAAGGGAAAAATATGTATTATATTATTTTGTGCCTGTAAATAGTAAATGGGGGGCTGGAAATAGAATTGCTCATGTAAGAAAACAAAATGGGTCTAACTTTGTCAAAGGATCATTGGGTTGGGTGATTGCGATAACTACACCGAGCCACCGATGCAATGTGAAAAACGTTTGGTTGAAATTCACACATTCTTTTGAATAGCTTCATACAACAAACAGTAAATCTAAATCCGATCAAATAAATTTAAGATCTCACCATATCATAGAAATTGCTAGTGAATACAAATGGCAAAAAGAATTGAATTTATGAGTGACACGTACTAGTCTCGAGTAATAGGAAATCTACTCCAAGGGTGATATTAATATTTATCAATAATGAAAATAATACCAACAAGAACAATAATAATAAATTCGTACATAACGGCAACTTGTGCACTTCTGGCATAAATAAGTTGGACTTTATTATAAAAGTAAAATAAAGCTCGTGCGTCTAGTTTAACTAATTAATAGGCTGTGCAAATGTATATTTGAGCTCAATTATTCTAATAACTTTATACATCCATATATATATTGTTAAACACATTGTAATTACAATTTAATTCAATCCTCCAACTATTAATTATCTTCATTAGTTCTGTAGCTTTTTACTCCGAAATTCATTTTATGTACTCCCCATGTCCCCCACTGGAATGGTTGGATTAATCTATTTGTGCCATACTGGGCCCTATTTCGGCCCACTTAAGCTCTTGTTGCTTCACTGTGCTTGGGTAGCCCATGCAGCAAAATCCAAGCTGCCCAGCAATTTGTATGTACCTGTCACAATTATATATTAAAACCACCAGATTATGTAATTGAATTTATATGATTCATTGCTGAGTTGATCATTGGGTAAGAGCGCAGCATTGCCCAGCCCAACCTAGCATTTTTTTTGCCAAACCCAGCATATATGCAAAACATATGTTATGCGAAATTGGTATATTCATCATTTTTACCTTGATTAAAATATTCAATAATGGTTTTATCGAGTACAAATATGGGTGTTAAATGAAAAATAAAAATAAAACATAGTTTTTCAAAAATTTAAAACATCAATAATGAAAATAAATACGGAGTACTACTTTTAGCTTGTTACTATATTAGTGACACCTGCTAGCAACACCCACTTTATGTGTGTCTTTTATACGTTGCCTCTGTCACAAGAGTGGGAGAACGTCAATATAAAATTCAGTCCCAACCCTTGGCTAACACTATATTTCTAGCAAAAAAAAATTGTTTGTACCCATTCTTATACTCGCTTTTGTATTCACCATGTCTGTGAGGAGTTTTGTTTGTCTCTGAATCCCGTTCACAGACAAAATATGTCTATGCAAATTATTTTGTCTATGAATCGGATTCACAGACAAAAAAAAATTCCTCACAGACATGGTGAGTATAAGGTGGGTATAGAAGTGTGTACAAGAAGTACTCTATTCCTAGCTCCGTCGCTACACATTGATGTCTTTGACCGGCTGGCGGTGACATTACAGTGACATGATTGAAATTGATCCAATTAATGAAGAAGAATTAAAAGTTAAGGGTATGCTTGACACAACTAGTTGAAAAAATATTTTTATGAGATTTTTTGTAACTGTTAGCTTTTAGTGACTCATAAGGTGGATCTTAAAAGAAAAAGATAGTAGTTGTTTGATAAAAAGCTGACTGTTTGATGTAACTTTGTTTGGTATACAAGTTGTTGGGAGTAATTGATGCTAAAAGGTACAGACTTATCTGAGACCCTACTCACCGTAGCATCTCAAAAAAGATCTTTTATTTTTATAGCTCTTAAAATTTGGCATGTCAAACATACAATTAGAAGCTTATAAAGACTTTTTAAATAGTAAAAAAGCTAGAAGGCAATTACGTATGCGTGCCAAACATAGCCTAAATGAAACATATTAGAGCTGGTTTAGATATTAGATACCCATGTTTTCGGGTTAACAACCATTTTTTCACCAAACTTTTGCTTTTGGCGCTGAATTTTGTAATCATCAAATAAGTAAGGTTGAGATCATTTTTCTGACTTAGAGGAAGATTTATTTATTTTTTAAATATTTTTTTCCTTATGTTATTTATATAAGGAAATCATTTTCAACCATAAAATGATTTTGAATTTTTTCATAATTCAACAAGAAGATTTATTTATTTATTTTTACCTTTTTTCTTTATGTTGTTAATATAAGGTTGAAATCATTATTGCAGGTTAATTTTCTTTTCCTAAAATAATACGTAGTATATTTTTAATATTTTTCATAATTCAACATATTCAACTACTCCCCCCCGTCCTGCTAAGATTTTCCTACTTTCCCTTTTTAGTCGTCCCAAAATGATTTTCTCATTTCCCTAAATGGAAAGTTATCCTACATCAAAACAGTGCTAAACAGTGCAAAACAGTGTCAAACAGTGTCGAAACAGTGTACTCTACAGTAAAGTCAAATTTATTTCCTAAATATGTGTAGGTCAAAGTAGGAAGTTCTTAGCGGGATGGAGGAAGCATAATTTAATCATTTTCAGGAAAATCAACCGATTTGCCAATATAAGTGTTATCAAATGAGCCATAATTGTCTTCAAGAATACTTGATCATTTTTTAAGAGCAGTATTTGATAATCTTTTTTGAAAAATATAGTAGTGGGGCGTCAAGCCAAATACTACGTATTACTCCCTCCGTCCCTAAATAAACTTCCAACTTTCCTTTTTCGTCCGTCCCAATTAAAACTTCCACTTTCTCGTTTTGGCAAAGAATTTGTGGTTCACAGTAATTCTTACACATTTCTCTCTCTTCTGCACAACTCTCCACCACACAATACCCACTATCTTAAACTGTGTGTCAAATCTATTTGGAAGTTTTATTAGGGACGGAGGGAGTAGATAAAAGATACGGAGTAAATGTTATAGGTACCCATTTTAGGGTGCCCCATTTGTATCCCTACTTGTGTGATTCATAAAAGCAATTCATAAAAATGGGACAATGAGTTTAAAAAGTTGGCTTTTGTGAACCACACAAATGGTGATGCACAAATGGAATATCTCAAAATAGGGTACACCAAGAATGCCTCTAGGTGAAATTCGTTTGAAATGTAGTAGGTGAAGTGTACCTTGGGTGGAACCTTCTACCTAAACAAGAAACACATTTTCTGCCCTGAGACATCTCTCCCATTCCGATTCGCATGCACGCTCTACAATAAACTCTTCCACACACCTGCGACGGTTAGTTCCACGCATAATTATAATTTTAAATTCTAAAATCTATAACCACAACAGCAAAGAAGTGTTAAAATTTAGTACAAATAGGATTGTAGGGAGGCTTCGTAAGAGAGGAGCGGCAATGGCATGGGGAAATCCTAGCCGCCGGCTCCTTTTCTCTTCTTTTCTTCTCTTCTTTCAATCTTCTTTGATTTCAATAATATAAAAATATATTCGTAATCAGTGTTTTCAATTTTATTCATCTGTTTCTTTCCCAACGTCATTTCTTGGAGGTATTATTTTTGATAGCGAAATATTGTTTGCTAGATCCATATTCCCCGCCACTTTCGGTCGGGCGTTCTTGTGTGCTAAGAAGAGATTTGCACTGATCTCTTCATCAAGCAAAAACATGATTTTCTTCTGCGCTGATATTAAGACGAATCGCCCCCTCCTGAACCACCGCCGTTCAAGGAAGATGAGATCATTTGGATTGCTTTCTTTTCGGTGGCTGGTAAAACCGGAACAAATTCTATACTTGGCTCCTTACCGGTGACTGGAGAAACCAGCATGTTTAACTATTTAAGAGTTCTTTTAATAATTATTATGATCGTAGTAGCAAGAGCAGTCAATCTGCAGGTAGGGTCTACTTCTTTGCGAGATTAGCGATTTGGCATTTTTGATTAGAATCGTCTCTTTCTATGTCGCATCTCATTGTAGGCTTGAGCTTTATGATTGTAATGTTTCTTGTCATCTTCCTTAATAATAATTAAGTTATTTGTTTAAAAAAAGTGTTAAAATTTCTAGATTGTATTTTAATTTGAACCTTTTCCCAAGACAAATAGGGCCTAGAGATCAGAGTATTATATACGGCAGAGTATATTATATTCCACCCGTATGTGAATCCATATCCGATCCGACACTTCAATTCCTAGTTCCTATTAGTTGTTTCAATTGAGTTGGGGAATTACAAAACAATTTTTCTAAAGCTGTGTAATTAAAGGTATATGACCTATGATAATTCACTTTTATAAAGGTTCAAGTAAATTAAATTGTTAAAGGTAGTCGAAAGTTTTATTACCTAGCTATGACAATTTCAAACCCGAAAAAGAGAGTGGAGTGAAAATGAGCACCGAATCATTCACGATGAGGTGATGATGAATTACAAAATCTTTATCCTTGATATTTCATCTTCTACGGTTTACCTTTGGACTTTGGTGAAGTATTCTTACATGTATTCTTGAATAGTGCTCCTCATGAAAAGGATTGGTAAAGTTGAAAAATCAAAACATTGAAAAAGTAACAAAAAAATTCGTATTCCCCTATAAATTAAAACTTATTCAAATTAGAATATTATTAAAAATTGATATATTAATTATGTGTATAAAATGAAACTGTATAACGAAATAAATTGACCTTGCAAATGAAGTTGGGATGGAGGTAATACTGCTCCATGCCTATTATATACTTGAGTTTTTTTTCGAATTAATGTTAAGTAATTAATTAATTACGGAAATAATGCTGGAAAAAAAGTATTTACCAAAATACTGCTGGCCCTTAACCACGGTCAGGGGTAAGTCGCCCAACCGTTGGGCGACTTACCCCGACCATGGTTAATCCAGCAGTATTTTGGTAAATACTTTTAACCCAGCCCTAATTTCGTAATTAATTAATTAATTAACATTAATTAGGAAAAAAACTCTATATACTTATAGTACGGTATTGTTTGTATTATAGTTGTACTCCATTTCACATGATGTTTGTAATTAACATTTTTTTAAACATTCCAGTTGAAATAATTAACAATCTTAAATGAAAAATTGACCATTAAATATTAAAAATACTACACCTATAACAAATCAATTATTATCAATAACATCATTACGTTATATCAATCAAAAGTACTTCTAAAAATATATATTCAAATACCTTATTTAATTATTATTTGAATAACTGTGTCATTCTATTTAAAGTTGGGGCAGAAGTAGTATAAATTAATTTTGCTTACTTTTCAGAATATGCCTTAATCTAGAGCAAAAGTTCACGCCAGTACCACATGACGTTGTTATTAAATCTAGTCTGATTTGGTGTAATTAATTTAAGTTTGATTTGGTTTGATCAAATGTGATTTGATTTCATGGTGAAATATTTTAGCTAAGCCCAATTAAATAGTATACTCGTATAACACAACTCATGGAAGCTAAATAAAACCTGAAAACTTACCAAACAGCGGTGCCGGAAAAAGTAGATATAGGTTCGACAGAGAGTGCATCTATTCGAATGAGGAGTCCCCGGCCGGAAGCTGCTTTTGCATGACTTAGACTTTTTCATAACAACCCCGCCGTTTTCCACCGCAGTACGCGGTGGTTGCTGCGTCTGCGCAACCTCCACCACGTCTTGTATGGGCTGCTCCTCCTCCTTTGCCGTCGCAACAAGAAGGTGGTTGAAGCTAAGGTTGACAGATTCATCTGGAACGCCCACATACATTTCTTGTAGCTCTCTTTTTGCTTCTTCCACACTTCGGCCTTTTCGCAAATCCCCCATTAAGCTAGTTATTAATATCTTAATTGAAAGAATTAATAACAATTAACAATAATGTGGAGATCGGGAGATAAATTAACTTAGGAGTGGGTTAACCGGAAAACATATTTTGTATGGATCAAGTATATATAATAGTACCTCCGTTCTTAAATAAGTGCAACATGTGAAATTTTACACTATTCACATATTCTACTTTGACTACATTTTATTTATTGATGTATTAATATATATTTTTGAAAAATATATTATTAAATTTGTCTCATTGTAAATTTTCAAAAACTGATTTTTTTAAATTTTTTAATGATGGAGAATTATATATATTAATGGTTAAAGTTGTATCTCGGCAAGTGTAAAATGTTGACTGTTGCACTTATTTAAGAACGGAGGAAGTAATATGGGAACATTTATATATGTAGCTCGTGAGCAGGTGAGAATGGAAAGGTCAAGCATTACGTGCGGACCACGGCCACAATGCCCAGGGATCATAATAATGAATTAATGATGCTCTTCGTCTTGTATAATTGAAAATTTGAACCTTTTTATATTTTAGTATTATTATGCCACTTACTTTGATGTGTGATGATGGATGTAATTGAATTTGTCCGTAAAGAGATTATTCCTATGATGACTTGATGATCAATGTCTATATGTGCATACTTTTTGTATGTAAAAGTGTTTAGAAGCGGTTTGGCAACATTCTTTTTTTGGCTGATCAGCCAATTTTCTCATCAAACACGTAATTTTACTTTCGCGCGATGAATTGTTAAATAAACAAAAACAGTAAGGTTGGGGTTACTTTTCTGGATATATTCGCTGAAGTTACTGTAGATGATTATTTTAGCTATTTTTACATTTAACTTTTTTATTTTTTCATTCATAAAATATATTCTAAAAATAATTTACAGTTAATTATTAAAGTTAAGTTATCAAAATGTATGCATTAAGTCAAGTTAATTTAGAAGGTAGCCATTTTAACAACATACATTTACTAAAATGCCCTTAATATTTCTTCATAAATGGATTTCCGGTTAAAATGTGCCGAAGTTATTTCTCAATCAAAATATAAATATGTTCAGCGGTGTGACGATCATTAAATTCACGAAAAGCAAGTACGTTGTGGTCAGATGGATGATGATGGTGGTGAATTGAAGGGAAAAAGATCACGGGCTAAATGTGATTAAATTAAAAGTCAAGAGGAAAATGTGGACATGGCATAATAGTCATGGGATCAAAAGTGGGTTTTTTTCTATTATACTCCGTACATAACTTAAATTACAATATATACCTAAATTTCTTCATAGATGTGCATGCATATGATTTCTTGAAGTATTTCGATCTTACAATCGGTAAGATATGAAGTTACAATCTAATGCACGGAGTATTAAATTCTGCAGCTACACTGCTAATATCAAGGTGACCTATATATATTTATGGAACTATTAGTCATTAAATTGGTTTATTTGTATATATAATTTTTTATATCATCTTCCTAGCAAGCATGTCGTATTTGAATATCATCCTTTAACTAATACTCCTTTCGTCCTAATATTATCTTCTATTTTGACTTTTCACACATACTAAGAAAATGAAAAATGTATGGCCCAAATTTGTGCATATAATAGGAGAGAAAAATTGAGGATAGATGTTAGGGATAAAAGATTCTCTACCAAAAAGAGAAAAATGAATTAATATTGGGACGGACAAAAAAGGAGAAAATGCAGATTATATTGATGTACATGGGTACTTGATGTATTTATTTATTTTTTCAAAAAATCATGTAACTATTTACAGATAACGAACCACTTTTTTTTACCGAGATGTTACTGTGCATCCACCCGTCCCTTTAGATTTTATTTATTGTGAATAAATTTAAAACTAAATTTAATTCGAAATTTATTTCATAGAGTATTATTTTCATATGTGTGTATGTGTGTGTTTAATTACAACATTATTGCTAACAAAAGCATTCTCAATAATTACTCAATCACAGAACTTAACAAAAAATGTGTTACAACTAAATAGATAATCCCATGTCTCCAATCTTTTATACTTTTTCATAAACCTTTGTGATAGAGTATATGGTCCCGGGCCCCATGGTCCACATACTCAAAAGGTCAAACAACACCAGAGGGACACCCACGTGGCGCCCTTTGGCCTAGTGGGTTCCGCAACGGCCAAAAGGTGAATTGGCCCAGAACACTGCCCGGAGGCCAAGTGGACCTCATCGGTCGTAGACCGCATCGGCCAGAGGACCACGTCGGCCAAAGGACATCACATCGGCCAAGAATTATCCTGGCAGAATGTACTTTCATACTTTATTTACTAAGTATTTGTACCCAGCCCATTAGTGGCCTTATTTCGCCCAAAGAAGGCATGGTTATTGTAATTAGCCTCCTTAGCCCAAGGCTAGGAGCCCAAATCCACATTTTTACCTATAAATAGCCCCCTAGGGGTAGTTATAGGGGGTTGAGAAATATTAATTACTCATTTTCTCTCTCTAGCTCTCACTTCTCCCTAGAACTAAATACTCTATCATTTGTTGCTTTCATTGAGAGCTTGAACAGATCAAGTGAGTACCCTTCATCGCTACCATGCACAACTAACAAAAATGGGAAGAGCTAAGTCAAAGAATCCCACCGGAAGAACCATCCCCGGGACCTAAGAGAATGAGGAGAGGTCGGGCGATGACGCTGTCAACAACTTTGTGGCTGAGGAGGGGAACGTCCAGGAGGTCGAGAGCCCAGCTGACGACCTCCGCAACCATCTCAACAAAGACTGCTCAGGACGCCCGCATCGGGCTTGAGGACAAACGCACTGCTGATCGCGCTTCGAGCCAACAGGCTACTCCCCCTATTGCCCCCCAACTTCAGGCTGCACTATCATCCATTGTCGCCAACCTGATCCGGGACCGCAACATCCTGAGCACTCTCGTCGCGAAGACTGGGGAGAACAATACTCCCAAGACAGGGGAGGTCGCAATGGTCCCACCGCCACCTCCGCCCCCTCCCCTCGTCACCTTCTACGGCAACGACGAAAACGTCGTCGATGCGTACACTCACTCTCATACTGCTTCTCCGCCCTAGGATGAGCCGACGAAAGCACGTGGTAAGATCTCGTCCTTCAATAAGCTGAGTGACACGAGACATCGACCACCTATGGGGAGGATGGCGGATCGGTTAGGTGGCCGTGAACCTCTCTCACCCAGGGAGAGCCTCAGGTCGATCTCCAAGACAACGGAACGGCCCCGTCTGAACAAAGGAAAAGGCAAGCTGCATGAGGATGACGCACGTCATCAGATCAATCAAGCCCATGCAGCCAGGGCCCAACCCCAGCAAGGTACCACGGCGGCCACCAGGGACCCCAGGGACGAAATCATCGCCCGCCTCGAGAAGCGCATCGCCGACATGGAGGCCCGGGAGGCCGCGGGGATCGCAGCGGCCTGCGTGGTCCACACCCCCCCCAAACTATGCCACTCTCCTGAACAAGGTCAGCGCTCTGGAAAGGGAGTTGGCCGAAAGACATGATGAACCCATCATCCAGGTTAGGATGAGGACCCCTTTCACATCAAGGGTGCTCTCCGCCCCCATCCCTGAGAAATACAAAGGGGACCCCATCAAACCCTATGATGGCCGTACCGAACCGCAGGAGCACTTCACCCGCTATCACAATAACATGCTGATGACCAACGCCTCGGATGAGTACATCTGTCGCTGGTTCCTATCCACCCTGGAAGGGCAACATACTATTGGTTCAACGCACTTCCAGAAGGAAGCGTGGACTCATGGTAGGATCTGGCACAGCGCTTCCTCACCCACTTCACCTGAAGAAAGCGCGTGAAGAAGCATTTCGCCCACCTCCTCACCGTCAAACAACAGCCGGAAGAAACGCTTTGCACCTTTTTGGAGCGTTGGACGAAGGAGGTGGATGAATCTGAGGGAGCCGACGAACGCACCCTTTTGGCCTTCCTACGAGGGGCGCTCCGGCCCAGTACCTTTGTTCGAAGATTATTCACCGAGCCGCCACGGTCATACGCCGCGGCGCTTCGGCGCGGAGGCTTGCTTGCAGACGCCAATGAACTATTGAGCCGGAAGAAAGACGGGGAGAGACCGCCGAAGAAGAAAAATGACTACTCGGAAGAAGGTGTGAGTAGCAAGCTTGAGCTTCAACGTGAAACGGTGCCCCCCCCCCCCCCCCCCCCCCCGAAGAGGTCAGTACGCGAATATCGAGCGAGCAATAGGCTGAATGTAGCATAACTAATGTTTCAAGTATAAGACCCAAACATAGGGTGATGCATACACATATAGTTTCCCCCCAAGTTATGAAATACTTATTATTATCTATACACTTGGAAATACCCGACCCGAAGGTCATTGTTTAATTGAGAAAATAGTAGTAGTCAATGTCCTTGACTTAAATCCCAACCCACCCATATACCTATGAGTGTATAGAAGTCCTCCTGGTTCAAATCCTTTTATCATGAGGACACCGCCTGGTCCTGAATTACTCAACTGTAATATATGAGTTTTGAGGATACACGCCCGATCCTTGGGTACTCCATTAGTCCACCCGTCATAACCGAGTTTTGAGGATACAAACCCGATCCTTGGGTACTCCACCCGCATAACCGAGTTTTGAGGAGACACGCCCGATCCTTGGGTACTCCACCCGCATAACCGAGTTTTGAGGATACACGCCCGATCCTTGGGTACTCCACCCGCATAACCGAGGTTTGAGGATACACGCACGATCCTTGGGTACTCCACCCGAAATATGATCTACCTCATATCATACTAGATAGGGTCTATATCATAATCAATAATCAAGACTAAACCAAGTCTTAAGGCCTAATCATAATCATTCACGCAATTCATGCATTAAAAATCAACATATAGGCAAAACACCACTAAACCGGCGCCGGTTTTATACAGAACCGGTGCCGGTTTATTAATTAAATTAATAAACCAGACAGGACGAACCACAACCGACACCGGTTTTGCCTATAACTGGCGTCGGTTACCCCCTGGGCAACCTAGTCAACATTTTCGTTGACTTGCCATTTAAAACCCGATTTGTGTCAAACTTGATCCCAATGTGTATTAAGTTATGACCAAGAATTTTTATGCACTTTTATTGTTTAAAACATCATATATGTTTTTATAAACATTTTCATATCATACTTCATTCATGATATCAATGATTCATTTCATAGAAGCGTAATCACTTTGGCTAATCACATGTTTAAGCATCTTTTAAACATCATCATGAACACATATAACATTTACTTAGGTAATATCATAATTAACCCAAGAGTTTCAAGACATTAAGCCGTCCACTCACCTCGAATGAGCTTTAAGAAGTTCAACCCTTCTCGGTTGAACTCCGGCAAAACTCCGGCAAACTTTGTCTAGCTCCGGCGATTTCTCCGGCGACTCTTTCAACTCCGTGAAAGCTCTAGGAATACCTTAGATAAGTTCTAACAAGGTTTTAACATCATAAAACCTAAATCAAAACAAATAACCCCTAAAAGGTTATTTTTCGGCGAACTGGTCACTTTGGCTTCTAAGTCCGTTCTTGGACTTAGAACAACCTTCCAACCCCGCATCCTACATTTCAAAACATGTAGAGCTATCCTAGGGGTTCTTCATATGCTATACGAGTCATATGGTAGATAATGGATGAAAGAAAATTTATGATAAGATCATTACCTTAATACACCACACTTTTCCTCCTTTTCCTTCTTTAAACTTCCTCCTTGGACCTTCTTGAGCTTAAACTTATTCTTGGCTATGGAGTATGGAGTTGCAGAGCTCTCTCTCTCTCTTCTTGGTGTTGGCCGAACTACTTAGGTGAGGGAAAGGGGGGATGTGCTTCTTTTTGTCTCTTTGAGCAATTAAGAGGGAGAGGGCCCCTTTGGATGTCAAAGATGTTTCCCCCATCCCAAGAGTCCCTCAGCCAACCTTTGGAGTCAATCAGCCTCTATTGGTTGCTAAGTCTGTGGGGCGGCCCCCACCCATGTGGGAGGTCTTCCTAATATGTCGCAAAGTGTACAATCGGGCCCGAAAATTGTATTTCTCGAACTGTTTTAGTTATATTTTATTTTATCATGTCAAATAAAATAATTTAATTACTCCCCATCATAATGGGCCTTTAGAATGATTATACATTCCCCAACTTCAATTTAGAAGGCTCCGACATCCATTTCGGGCTGTTATCTGATAAACTACCAATACCTGTAATTTGAGCATCCTTTGACCAACCGGTCAATCCTAGCCCTTTCTATGGCCCAAATAGAATATCCGCTACCAAATAAATATTATCTAGACCCAAATGAATAAAATATGTGGTCTCGGGAATATCGGGTGGCCCCCACTCCCGGTGTGGGCCCCACGTGCAATTTACTATACACGCAAAAGAAACAACAAAAATTTACAACCTCGTAAATTCATTGACCATTTGATAAGGTTCAATACATTATTTACACAAAGGTAAATATAATTGAGGACGGTGTTACAATAATGATTATACTTTATAGTCATTGCAATGTAGAATTTGATCGTAACTTTAGTCACTAAAAGTTATTAAATCATACGTAGTACTTTTTTTCACTGTCCTATTTTGATGATTTACTATATATTATTTCTGTTTGGAAACTACTTTTAATGTTTTATTCAGGATGTTTTCTTTTGGACTGTTTTCAGTCCCAGACCAGACCAGACCAGATCAGAGCAGACCAGACTCAAACAGACCAGACCAGACCAGACTTAAACAGACCAGACCAGATCAGACCAGACTTGGATAGTTATAAAATAATACTAGGGGTGTTCGTCGGTTCGGTTTGGTCGGTTTTTGGTTTGGTCGGTTCGGTTTGGTCGGTTTTTTTCCGGAAAAGCTGAAACCGTAAACCGAACCGCACTACTTGAGTCGGTTTCGGTTCGGTTTCGGTTCGGTTAATATCGGTCGGTTCGTGTCGGTTTCGGTTAGTTTTAGCTTGTTTTTGTCGGTTTTTGTCGGTCGGTTTCGGTTCGGTCGGTTTTTTAACCCCAAAGGTGAAACCGTAAACCGAACCGCCAATGTTTAATCGGTTTGAGTCGGTTTCAGTTTGAGTCGGTTTCGGTTTTGGTCGGTTCGGTTTCGGTCGGTTTGTCGGCAGGGGCGGACCTATATGGGTTCAAAAGAGTTCATGTGAACACCCAAAGATTTTGTTTTTTGTAAAAGAATACATAGATAAATTTTCTGGAATTTTTTTTATAAATAAATTTGAACACCTAAAATTTGAAAAATAGATTTGAACACCTAAAACTAACTTGGTAGATCCGCCACTGTTTGTCGGTCGGTTTCGGTTTTTCGGTTTTTTTGTTCACCCCTATAAAATACATAGAGACCAGACGTTTACCAGACCAGACCAGACCAGACCAGACTTAAACAGACCAGACCAGACCAGACCAGACCAGACCAGATCAGACCAGACCAGACCAGCAAATTTCAGTCCAAAAGAAAACATCCTCAATGGCAAAATTCATCTTCAAATATGAATATATGAGAAGGCAAAGAAATACTCCGTATATTACACATAATTGGATATTAAAACAGAGTAAAGTACACTGGAAGCTAGATTAATGTTAACAGACTTAAATTTCGAGCAGGCAATGTATACATGCAATTTATAAAAAAAATTAATGACGAAATTAAAATAAGTTTGACAAATAAATCAAACTGTTGGAAATTTCAATTCTTTATCAACAAAGCTGCATACTTCTATTGTGTCAATGTTACATGTATATATACCTATTACGAAGTATATACTATCTAGTTTGTGTCATGCACGTTATAATTCAATGTAATAATAATGTACGTAGTATATGATGAAAAAACAATATACAAATATAAAATATTGGAGACATAAGTTAATAGCCCTCTAACCATGCGTCGTTAACAACCACCATCTATATAACTTAATGTCCTATTGTCCAGTTGACAATATGTCTTGCCCTCTAATACATTCCAACTATGCTAGTTTAATATATTTATTTCAAATTTCACTAATATTATAATGATTGAGATCAAGATCGATATCTTCGTAATTATATTATTTCACCATTTGCACGAGAAGATCAGAACATATAAATTGAAACGACTGATATTTGTTCAGATATTCTTTCAGTATTTAATAATCATTTTGGTTACCCAGTGTGTAATTCTTTTACTAGAACATTATATTGGATATTTAGATAGGAAGACATTCAAATGAATTCTTGAAGATAACTGTGCTTCTAACTGCACGGTTATTTTCAAGAATTCATTTGAATGCCTTCCCGATTGAAGTTTTAGCCGAAATTTGGTAAGAGTAAACTAAACTTGATGAATAAGATGATCAAAAAATTTTATCAAAAAAATCCACCGGGAACCACCCCAAATGACGACGGCCGGACAGAGCTTCCTAAATAAGGGCTTATTTGACCTTTTTTGGTTAGTACATGGGCCTATTTGCACCTTTTCCCATTTAGATATTAAGATATATGATCCAACATACTCCCTCCGTCCCAAAATAATCGCCCTGTTTGGTTTTTCACGGTTATTAAGAAAAGTGGTTTTATAGAGTTAAATACCCTTAATACCCTTTATTTTTAAAACTGGAGAGGGGGGTTAGAACCGGCAGGGCCGGCTCTAGCACTTTAGAGGCCCTAGGCGAAAATACACTCGATCTTAAGAAATCATATTAAAGAAACATTTATTTATAACACAAATTCTGAAAAACTGAGATGCATGGATTGAATGCAAATATTCCATATAAGAAACAAAGCAAAATTTAAATGTTGTGTCAACGTCTAGATAATAATGTTTCAAATTTAAACTTATAATATTAAAAATTGCACCAAAAATATACCAATACTTGTTATTGTTTTTAATATTCTCAACACACCCTAGTTTTTTAGAGTCAAAATTTATGTTTATTTTTCATGAAAATACCTGCATATTATTAATAATAGAAAAATTACAAGCAATTCAGTTAACAAAAACCGAAAGAGACTAGTGTGTCCAGACAAACAAACAAACAAACAAACAAACAAACAAACAAACAAACAAACAAACAAACAAACAAACAAACAAACAAACAAACAAACAAACAAACAAACAAACAAACAAACAAACAAACAAACAAACAAACAAACAAACAAACAAACAAATAAATAAATAAATATTAATAAACAAACAAATAAATAAATAAATAAATAAATAAATAAATAAATAAATAAATAAATAAATAAATAAATAAATAAATAAATAAATTACAAATAAGTAGTGATAAATTATACGTAGTAATGAGTGTAAAAGTAAGGCAGAGTATTATTATTAGTTTGAGTCTCTTGCAGTGTAAAACTGTAAATGATTGATTATTTTGATATTAATATCGGTGATTTCTATTAAAAAAACTCAATTCAAACATTCAATTCATATCTAGACTAGAATTCCTTTTAAAAAAATATAGACTAGAATTAATAGCTCAAAACAGTTATAAAGATAATAAGACCATAGTTCTTGTCTTCTTACTCCTATGTTTTTGAGGCCCTCCCCGAAATCTTGCGATTTGGCTCTCAGCAACAGGGATTCGCCATAGGGGAGTGGGGACTGGGAGGAATCATCGTCTTAGGGAGGGACTTCTTCGGAGTTGTTGAGTTGCTGGAGATCGATCGAAGTTAAGGATTGGAGTCTGCTGCCAAATTCCAATTACTCAATTAAATTTTCTTACGCATTGTTACTCATACTTCTTGTCTTCTTACTCCTATGTTTTTGAGGCTATCCTGATGCGAGGCCCTAGACAAACGCCTGGGTTGACTGGCCTCAAAGCCGGCTCTGAGAACCGGTCAGTGCAAAGTAAAAAGGAAGAGGAATAGTAAAAAGCAAAAAGTGGAATGATTGTTTTCATTTCCATTTCCCAGCTGAGTTCAAAGTTCTCGGCCCTACACTACATGACCGAAATAAATAGCCCAATTTCAGCCAATCAAACTTAAGAATAAAAATGGAGGGAAATTTTGACTTTCCCCCCAAAAAATTTCCATTACACTACACTACATAAGACTCCATAACAGTCCAAGGAAGCCTTTATGTCTGCAAGAAGCCTTTATTTCTCTTCTACCTGCTTCTCCCCTCATGTGTGGAAGACCTTTCCACATGGAATCTGCAGCCTTTAATACTACAAATACCCAAGAAATTGTGTTAGTCAATGCACATGAGCCTCCTATTCATGAAATTAATGCAGATGAGCAAGGATAGAGAAAGAAAAATCTGACTTCAGCAGAAAGGGACATGATAGTCCAAAAACTGGTTATGACCATAAAAAAAGGTAGTGGTATAACCAAGACTAAGGTTCAAAGAGGCTTAATCAGCAACCTTGCTATGGAGTTCAATTGCACAAGAAGAACGGTGAGCAGAATCTGGAACACAACAAAGAAGCAAATACAACAGGATATGCCTATAGATGTGCACGGCCACATGACAGGTAAAGTGGGAAGGAAAAGCATACACTATGATGAAAATTTAATTGTAGGCATCCCTTTACACAAAAGAACAACCATCAGGTCTCTTGGTATGACATTTGGATTGTCCAAGAACACAACTTAGTGTTAAGGCAGGTAGGGTTACAAGTCATACAAATGCCATTAAGCCACTACTAAATGATGGGAATAAACTGAAGAGGATGAAGTAATGTCTAAAACAACTTCAACCAGACTCTATTCCCAACAATCCCAGATTTCAGGAATTCTCAAATATTATTCATATTGATGAAAAATGGTTTTTCATGACAAATACAGCATAAAGATTTTATTTGGGTGCC